ACGGAATACAGTTACTCATATTTTGTATTTTAAATACGTAACGGCGGTACATGTATTCCGTTACTCCCCAACACTGCCTACCTCAGCATATGATTCCACTCTGTGATATAAACTGCTAATATTTAAGAATTTTTGCAAGATCAGCTGTTGATTTTTTTGAAACCTTGGTTCTGCTGAGGAAGTCCACTAGCTTAGAATACTATCCATCCATCAACTGTGGGAACATGACAAATAATAAAGTTTATGGTGAGATAGTAAGGCAAAAACAATACAGAAAACTAAATTATTTTTTCATTTGCACTAACCATCCTCATCAGAAAGTCCGAAGACTAAGAGCCGCAAACATACCTTCATTAGTACTGACTCGCTGAGTTTCTCACGGTTCACAATCTTAATGGCGACTTTCTGGCATGTTACACAGTGGACTCCAAGTTTGACCAACCCTGAAAAAAAAGGAAATACACATTTTATTAGGTCAGACACTCTTCTGAATATGAATTTCCACTGAACACATTAGGAAAAGTCCTAAAATGGGCTGTGATTCTTAAAAAACACTTAAAAAAATTCTATTGTCAAGTGCATTGACAAGAATAATATAAAGCAGCTAAGGACCAAATGTTGCTAATGCATGTAATGACTTGTGAAGTGTACACAGAGCCTTAAATTAACTGCCCTGTGGGGTTTATTTGAGTCATAAAGGCAGTAAGTGAGCAGGCCATTTGCTCTATTGATTCCGATAATGTATTAAACCACTGTAATGCAGTAATGTTAATTCATCTAAAATGGCAACAAACAATAGGATTATAAAAAAAGAATTGCAGGATAAAAAACTAATTATCAACTAGCATCCAAAATGACATGAACGAAGAAAAACTGCACAGAGCTTTAGTGAGAAACACAAAGTAGAGTGGCATATTTCAAAAACACAGCAGAAAACATTACCATTTTCTTCACAAGACAAACACACTGATTCATGGGTAGAAATCTGAGTGCGCCAGTCAGTTGTATAGGGACTCCCACACGAAGACTCTGTCAAAACTCATATAATTCCTGTGATTTCTCACACAACCCAAAAAGCATCTTCTGCTTTGCCTTACTAAATGTCCCCAGGTGTCCTCACTTAAGTGTAGAAAACCGACAGGGATACAACAACAAAGATGTTACAGTGGAACAAAGTGATGAGTGCATTTGATACAGGGACGCCATGACAACAGCACCAATACATTTTCATTTGAGCTGCATTTTTATTAGAAAGATGTTTGTTTGTTAGGGGTAAGTAAGTAAGTAAGTAAGTAAAATTTATTTATATAGCGCTTTTCACAGATAAAAATCACAAAGTGCTTTACAACACAGGAAATGGGAATATAAAAACAATATAACAGTAAATAAAACAATGTAAAACAATAAAACTATAAAACAGCATAAGAAGAAATTAATCAAATGCTTTTCTAAATAAAAATGTCTTCAGCTGTTTCTTAAAAGAATCAATGGAGT